ACCTACATTTAAAACCCTGGAAGTACTATCTATATGCATGCCATGATAGTAATTATAGGGAAGGAATATGAGTAGTTCTTGTCACAATTCTTGAGAATTTGGGGTACCTGCTACTCATTTTAGCATCATGGTTCTCTTTCTATCCAGGCCAATCCTTCTTGGAAAGACCAAAAGCAGAGCTCTCTATTAATCCAATATTCTATCAAATTATCTGAACTGGAAGTTCTCATCATATCTTGTAGCACTGAATTCCATTAATTAATGATGCACTGTAAGGGAAAGTATACCTTGTTTTCTGCTTTGAGTTTTCTGCCAATTTAATCTAGTGATCTAAATTCCATTGTTTTGAAAAAAAAAGAAGCCATAAATGGTCTCTGTAAACCATGTTCTCTGAACCATGCAAAATGTTATAAACCACAGTCTTTTTCCCATGCTCAAGAAACATTCCACACCTCCCCAACAAAACTGGCAGGTTTTCTCCAATGCAGGGAATGATGAGTTCCAATTCCTAGTTGATCCATGAATTTCCATGCGCTTCAGGGCACTTAACTCTTTGGAGAAATGCCATTTTAAATTCTGTATCTCTGCTGACAGTTGAGTCCGAGTGATTCACATCTTTCTTGGGGGACAGTTTTAAAGTTTGTAGGCAATGTTTTCTACTACTCTCCACGAGACCTGGAGTTCTAGGAAGATAAGTAAGCAGCCTGACATTAGGCAATTCTATTAACCCCTCAGGCCCCATATATTTACTCGAAGCAGAACTGGGAGCCAATGCGTGGTATGCCAGACAAAGTGGGATGATTCCTATCATTTATCCATAAGCTAAAATCCAGCAGAAGCCAGTTCCTTCTCTACCCCAGAGAAGGAGCGAGATTCTTTCTCCATCATACGGAACTAATTGTACCAGCGCTGTTTTCCTTTCTGTGCTTTTGCCTTAATGAATTCATAGCACAGAAGGGCTGACAGCTTTGGCTCAAATTGCAAAAAAATGGGATCTTGGCCAAATCCTCACATCTGCTATGGGTTAACCCTCGCCTCCTCCCCACCCACCCCACATCATTCAAGCCTTCCCAAGGGAACCCCTCCCTCTATACTGCCGGCCCTTCAGGGGTGGGGAAAAATGCCTCCTCCAGTTTCTGTGATTTGTTTTCCACTTTCCCTTCTTAGTTTACCATACATCTGACCCAACATTAAATTTTTATACTTATCCTTAGATAGTCTGAGGCATATAACCTGAAAATGTGGAATATTTATCTGCACCGAGGAGAATTTTTGGTATTTGCCTAGTTTCTTATTACTGCCTTAATTGAAAATTCTTTTAATCCAACAAAATGCTTGCTATAAAGCGAAGTACCAGCCATAAGAGGTATCTTTGTATTTAAAGATGTATCTGAGCACCATGTGCATTCTAAGAAAATGGCAGGTGCTTTGTTAGAAACAGTCTTCTTTGCCAAGAAAAAAAATTAAATGAAGCTGGCATCTTGAAGAGCAGTGATTAATGTAGGCCTAAAAAGAGAGCTAATTGGTCTAGTAGTTGAAATGCTGGCCTAGAAATCAGGAGACTGAGTTCTAGTCACATGAAAGGTGGCTGGGTGACTTTGGGCCAATCACTAGCAGATTGCGAGTTCTAATCCTGCCTTAGGCATGAAAACCAGTTCGGTAACTTTGGACCAGTCACACACTCTCCGCCCAAACCTCCTCAGTGTTATTGTTGTGGGAAGAATAGGAGGAATATTAAGTATGTTTGCTGATTTGGGTTACTTATAAAATTCATAAAGGCAGGATAAAAATCCAATAAGACTAGGTAGCCACTAGGCGTTTTCATCTGCCATCTAGTAGATGTTCAGGTTACTGTAATCTAGATTTAGTACCTCTAGCATTCCATGGCCACTGTGAGAACCATTGTGTGAATGAGCAAGCTGTCAGCCATTTTATCACCATGTTTTCAAAATTCCCAATCTGGCCAACCCTAAAGGACTGGGGACTCTGTCTTGGGATCTGCTGTATGAATGAATCCTACTGACCCTCAAGAATAGGGGTCTTCAAACGTGGTCCTTTTATGACTTGTGGACTTCAACTCCCAGAATTCCTCATCCAGGCATGAGGAATTCTGGGAGTTGAAGTCCACAAGTCATAAAAGGGCCATGTTTGAAGACCCCTGATCAAGAGTTAAAAATATAGAATCTTTCTCCAGAGGTTCATGGAGCATTCATGCTTTGGTACCCCCAAAATCACAGGGAGCGCCAGATACGTTTTCAAGAACCAATTTAAATTAGGATCATTCCAGTGAACGTTTGACTCTTAGTTTGGTTTTGATGACCATCACGGGTAGCCAAGTGTTAGGGATATCAAAAAATTCAAAATGGTGTTCACAATTGCCATGTTGACCATTTTTGACCCTTCCTCCCTGCTGATTTTTATTACTTATCTGGTTGTGCGTTTTACTGAATATTGCAACATTGTGTTTGGTCTAAGCAGGGGTAGGCAACCTCGGCTCTTTTATGACTCGTGGACTTCAACTCCCAGAATTCCTGAGCCAGCTTGGCTGGCTCAGGAATTCTGGGAGTTGAAGTCCACGAGTCATAAAAGAGCCGAGGTTGCCTACCCCTGGTCTAGTGGTTAAGGCACCAGGCTAGAAAGTTCAAATGAGTTCAAAGTTCTGCCTTGGCCAAGAAAGCCGGCTGGGTGACTGGTTCAGTCTGTCTCTGTCTCTCTCTCTCAGCCCAACTCACCTTACAGCATGGGTGTCAAACTGCCAGTCCAAGGGCCGGATGCGTCACGCCAAAACCATGCCCACCCCATTGCCGGCAATGGGAAAAAAGTCGCGATACGTCGCAACACTTCATGTGACATCGCAAGTTTGACACCTGTGCCTTACAGGGTTGTTGTGGGGAAAATAGGAGAAGGAAGGTGTGTTGGACATGTTCACCACTTTGAGTTATTTGTAAAAAATAAAGGCAGATATAAATAAATAAACAAAATATGTATGTCACCCAGAGTTCATTTGGATTAGGCTGGCTTATACATATCAATTATCTCACGAGATAGATTGGTGCTCCACAGCATGTCATAAATTGGGCAGTATTAGTACACAGACACCATTATTCCCACCACAACTTTCCATGAATGGTACTTTTTGGTTCCACCAATTGTTTATTTTTATCCCACCTTTATTATTTTTATAAATAATTCAAGGCTGTGAACATACCTAATACTTCTTCCTCTTATTTTCTCCCCAGCGACAACCCTGGACTACTGTAATTCCTAGTCAGCAGGTTGAGAAGGGCAGTAGAAGGGGAAAGGTTGCAGTACGGCCTTAACCCACATCCATCCTTGGTGCCCTTTGACCTGTAACATCCTCCCTCTGTTGCTCCAGATATTCCTCCACCGCCCTTCCTTCTTGTTATTTTGTTTCGCAAAATTATATTTGGCATTTCTCCAGTCAGTATGCTCCAAGCTACTCACAGTGAAAGAAAGAATTATTATGGCCCCTGACCAGAACTGCAAACACACATTAAAAATAAAAGCAAAGTACAAACAAGATAAAATATTACAATTCATGCGGGGGGTGTTCATTGGTGGACGATCAAAGTCTGCCTAATTTTACAGGATTATGATCAAAGTTAGGACTGGAACTTTTATTGTTAAGTGAGGCAGTCATTAAGTTGCATCCAATTTTATCGTTTTGCTACGGTTATTAAGTGATTCCTGTTTCCCCCATTGACTCTGCTTGGCAGATTCTGGTTGGGAGGGTTGCAAATGGTAATTATGTGACAACCATTGTAAATGCATGCCAGTTGCCAAGCACCCGACATTTGATCACATGAACACAGGGATGCTGTGGTAGCCATAAGTGTGAGGACTGGTCATAAATCCATATTTTCAGCCATCTTAATTTTGAATATCACTAAACCAATGGTCCTAAGTCAAAGACTCCCTGTAACAAAATCCAATTATTCAAGGAAATTGAATCATTCTGATCTGATAATTGTACAAAAAAAAAAAAAGGCTAGGAGTTATAAGGCAAAAAAAAACACCCCATGTGCAAAATAGGGGAGAATCAGCACTCGCGATTTGAATACATGTTAGCAGTTCAAACATCCCAAGGGAGAGACTGTGCCTTCGGCGGTTACTCTTTTCTATTCTCTACGGTCATAGTTTCGGCTTGCAAGCCCCTCGGGGCAGGGAACCTTTTTTTTCTCTCCCTTCTCTTCCTCTGCTCATGCAGCTGCAAGAAAGCTGATCTGCATCGAGCTTGCAAAAATAACTTTCCAACGGGGCCGAGGAGCAGAATCCTTCCACAAGCTCCTCCTCCTCTTTCCCCACCTCGAACCAAGCGCCGCGTGCGTGGCCGGCCTCGCGGTGACATCAGCCCAAGAGGCCGCGCGCTGTTGTATGCAGTTTACGGAGCCGGTCGCCTCGGAGACGGGCCTGCCAGGAGAGACGGGGGAAAAAAAGAGAGAGAGAGAGAAGGAGAGAGAGAGAAAGGGAGAAAAAAAAGAAAAGTGTGTGTGGGGGGGGGGAGGCGGCGGCTCGACGCAGTTCCACATAGGCCCCGCCCTCCATGCAAAAGAACTATCCCAGACGTCATCTGCAGCCAATGGGAGGCGGGTACGGTGAGCTCATCGGGCCGGCGGAAGGTATAAAGGGACCTCCCCGAGGAAGGCGAGCGTCTTGAAGCCGCGCGGAAGAAAGGCGTCGAGGTTCGGCTCTTGGCGGCGGCGTCTAACAAAGCGCTGCCCGGGAAGAAGCCTGACGCTCCTCCTCTCACGTCGGGCGCGCAACTGGGGGCCCTCCCCTGTCCCACATTCCCGAGCGCTTCGCCGTGGTGACCCTAGGTGGCTACCTCCCCTCCGCAGCCTGCGGGGGGGAAGAGGATGGAAATACCTTTCTACCATGACGATGTGTTGATTGCTCTGGCAGCATCGACGGCAGCGCCTTCCTTTCGAAGCGGCAGCGGCAGCGGCGGCGGCCTCCACCAGCCTCTTTTCGACGGCACCATGATGAAAAAAGACGGCTTAGTCTTGGCGCTGAGCGATCAGGTTTTGTCTGGCCTGAAGGCGCCCTCGGGCCATGCCGCCAATGCCCCTTCCGCGCAGCAGCAGCACCACCAGCCGCCGCCGCCAGGGGAAAACCAGACGCTTCTGACTTCCCCGGATCTGGGCCTTCTTAAGTTGGCCTCACCGGAGCTGGAGCGCCTGATCATCCAGTCGAACGGCTTGGTGACGACGACGCCGACCAGCGGCGGCACCCAGTTCCACTTTCCCAAAGGCGGCGGCGGAGGCAGCGCCCCCGACGAGCAGGAGTTTGCTGCGGGCTTCGTGAAAGCCTTGGAGGACCTGCACAACCAGAACCAGCTGGGGGGCGCGGGCCCGATCGGCGGGGAGCTGCCGCCAGCAGCCAGCCTGGCCCAGCAGCAGCAGCAGCAGCAGCAGCAGCCCCCCCTGCCGCCGCCGTCCACCGAGCCTCCGGTGTACGCCAACCTAAGCACGTTCTCCGGCGCAGCCAGCTTTTCGTCCGAGGGAGCTTACCAGGCGCACCCTCGGCTGCAGCCGCCCCCCTCGCTCAAGGACGAGCCTCAGATCGTGCCGGAGGTGGCGAGCTTCGGCGACAGCCCGCCGCTGTCGCCCATCGACATGGACACGCAGGAGCGCATCAAGGCCGAGCGCAAGCGGCTGCGCAACCGCATCGCGGCCTCCAAGTGTCGGCGGCGGAAGCTGGAGCGCATCTCCCGCCTGGAAGAAAAAGTCAAGAGCCTCAAGAACCAGAACACCGAACTGGCCTCGACGGCCAACCTCCTCCGGGAGCAGGTGGCGCAGCTCAAGCAGAAAGTGCTCAGCCACGTCAACAGCGGCTGCCAGCTCCTACCGCAGCAGCAGCAGCAGCCGCCCCACCAGGTTCCGGCCTACTGAAGGGCCCCTCGGCAGGGAAGGAGTTCGCTCGCTACTCGGGGACCCGAGGCCCTCCGCCGACGCGCCTCGATGACCCGCCGGAGGGGGCCCCGTCCTCACCAGGCGCGCCCCTCCGCTTCCATCCCGAAGGGCAACCTGCGAACTGCCCTGGTGCCTTTCGGCGGGCTATCCCTTCCCCCCCCACCCCCGGCACTCTCACATTGGACAGGAACTTGATACGAGTCGAGGGAAAGGCAAAGGACACTCGGGGGGCCTTTTCGTGGCCCTCCCACGCTGGGTGCAACAAGCATGTGGACGCATTATAGTATTGCTACTGGGACTTCCTACTGGGAAGCTACTGGGACTACAAAGGGAAGAAAGAACCGGGGTCTGAGAGGGGGCGGGGCATCTCTAGTCTTGTGCCTTTGAACTCTGGATACCCTTCCTTTATGGATTTTTTTTTTTTTTTTAAGTGACAGGATCTCAGAGGTGGTGTGGTTGGAAAGCCTAGACTGGCTCCTCTCCAGCTAGCCACCAATCTCAGTCCTTGGGATTTGCCATAGACTTTGGACTGAACTTTGCCCAGACAGGCTTCGTTCTCTTTCCTCTTCCCATGGCAGCATTTCCTTGTCTCCCTACCATATTTATGTTAATATTGGCTCCTGCTCAACTCTTGTTTTGAAGAGAGGGATTCTTATGTTCCTTCTCTTTTTTTTTTCTCTCCCACCCTTGATATATCATCACATTCCACAGTGCAGTAAAATCCTGTGCAGGAGATGAAAAAAAAAATGTCTTGCCTGTTTTTTGGGGGATGGGTGGGGTTCACTTTGGGCTCTTACTCCCTTGAGGCAGCTGATCCCCAAAATGTGTGTCGTGAGTGCCCTCTGGTGCATCTCTGAGGAACAGGGAGCTGTATTTTGGGCAGGTTTTTTTCAGCTTGTATTGATGCTATAACAAGACGTTCTGGTGGACTAGGAATTTTGGGATTAATAGTCCCAATCTATCTGGAGGATACAGGGTTTGTTGGGGGGCCATTCGTGGTTACTTTGTGTTGGTCACTCACAGGGTTTAGTCACTTATATTCTTATAGAGACATGTCCATTATTCCAAGTTACTTGTTTCTAAGTTAGTTCGGAGTACCTTTTTTAATTTACGTTAATGTTTTGGGAGGTGTGGGAGGTTAGCTGCTGAAATGAGGTCAAAGGAAAGTGAGATTTCCCAGACGCTTTTAGCAGGATATGGTATCTTGCGTGGAAACAGCATCAGCTCTCATGATGATAAAGATGATTGATAATTCCCAGAAACCCACCAGCAAAGCCAATTAGGGAAGCCAAGTGCTTTAATTCAGCAATGTTGGAGGGCCACAGTTCCCAGCTTGTATGTTCTCTGCTTGTGTAGATGGCTTTCCAAAATGAAATTGGAGAGGTACTCTTTTGTTTAATTTGATTTTTTTTACATCCTATTGAGAAATTAGTGGCTCTCCAGATGCTGCTGGATTTCAGCTCTGGCTAATATGTTAGAAGGTAACTTAGAATAAGGAGTTATATTCCAGGTTCTTAGCTCTAGTGCAGAGTTCCCCAACCTTTTGGGCACCAGGGACCAGTTCTGTGGAGAAAGATTTTTCCACGGATCGGAGGGTGCATGTTTTTGTGTGCTGCCTGCATCACACAGATGGGATTTTGCTTGTTTGTGCGGACTGGTTGCTGGCATGCTGCGGTCCACAGACCAGGGGTGCAGAACCCCTGACCCCTGCTGTAGTGTATCCATTAGAAGAGAAGTGATTCCATCAGTTCTGCATTGGGAATAGCTGAAACGATTGCAGCTGCCTGTCTTAAGCATCCACTTGTCTGGGAGGTTAATCAGTAGTTATGAAAAACATTCAGTAAATCTGTTTGCCTATTTCTGAAAGATAGTTAAAGCATCTGAAGAGAATCACACCTAAACCAATCTAGACAACATTTCTCTTTTCGTGTGGCGGTACATCAGACAGATTTAGGGAGACCACAAGTAAAGAAGGTTCAAGGCGACCTTTTCCCAATCTTATTCCCATGCTCTTGGTGCTGAGAGGTAGACTACTGTGGTTAGAGAAGCAACCAGATCTTATTCCTGGTAGCTATCGATATTCTTGTCCTCTAGGCATTTATTTAGTCCCTTTTTGAAGTCATCTAAGTTAGCAGCTGACACCATAGTTTTGGTAGTCCTCAACTTATCACAATTGGGACAAGAATTTCCATTGCTAAGCAAGGCAGTTAAGCGAGGTGTGCCCAATTTTACAACTTTTATTTTCATAGTTAAGTGTATCACTGCCCTTGTTAAACAACTGTGGCTTCTCCCATTGACTTTGGTAGTCCAAATGCAAATGATGGCCACATGACCCTGGGATGAGGTAACCATTGTAAGTAAATACGTGCCATTTGTCAAGCAACTGGATTTTGATCATGTGACGGGCTGTAAGCGAAGGCCAGTTGTAAGTCACTTTTCAGTGCTGTTGTAACTTGAGGACTACCTATATTCTGCAACTCAATTGCCTCAATTTTAAATTTGCTTGCCAGTTTCGTTGAGTGGTCTCTAGTTGTAGTATGGAAGACAGAAAAACTTGCCCATTCTTTATCAGTTATAATTTCATAAACTTGAATGATACTTCCTCATATCTTTTTCTAAGCTAAAGAACTCCCATCTGTTGCTGGCTGTCAAATTACTGGCACTGGGAATTTTTGCATTTGATTTTTCAGATGCCTTTCCCAAGACTTATTCCCAGTCCAAATGAGAAACTACAGTAAAAAAATGGATGACAACAGTCTCTATGGAAGCTTCCACAGCAATTTGGCTCAGAATAGCAATTTTTAAGTTACTGGTTCCAGTCAACCTTGCCTTTTAAGAAATGTGCCAAAAAACACAGATGTATTTGGAAAATTACTTCAGTCCTGTTTCAATTCTATCTCTTAACCTTAGCAACTTGAAGATTGTCTGGATTTCAAGTCCCAGGATTCCCCAGCCATGAAGGTTGGGGAATTCTGGGAGTTGAAGTCCAGATGCAGATATTTAAAAATAGTGGGAAAACTCAGAATAAGAAATTGAGGTCTGTCTTATGCCAGAATGGTTGTTTATCAATTAGTCTTGTGTTGGTGTTTGACTTTAAAGACAACTATTGAGTAGCTGTGTTGCCACAACCCACTGACCTAAATCATCAATCACATTTAAGCTAGGTTGTCATTTGACTTGACGAATTGTTGGTTCATTATGTGGAAGAAACCAAAAAAATGGGCTAATTTTATAAAAAGGGAAGATAACTACATAAGCATCCTATGCAGTTTTAAACTTTTATGCTGTTCTTTAGAATTGGTATGTTTGACAGGTAATCCTCAACTTAAAACCATTCATTTAGTGACCAGAGTTACAGTGGCACTAAAAAGGGTGACTCTCACACTTAAACTGTCACAGCATCCCCACAGTTGTGTGATCAAAATTTGGGCCCTGGCAATATTTACGACAGTTGCAGTGATCTGGGATCATGTGATTATTATACCTTCCCAACCAGTTTCCAACAAGCAAAAATCAATGCAGGAAGCCAGTTTCACTTAACAACCACATGAGTCACTTAACAATGGCAGCAGTTTGCTTAACTGTGACAAAAAGGACATAAAATCAGGCATGACTCACTTAACCAACTTGCTAAGCAATAGAAATTCTGGTCCCAATTCTCGTTATAAGTCGAGGATTCTTTCGTCAATATAGGAAGATGGACACACACTGAATGTTGAAGTGACTTTAGCAGTCATGTAGGCCAACCTCTTAGTCAGTGCAGGGATCTACTAAAGCACCTCTATTAGGTGATCACCCAAGTCCTGTTCAAAACCTTCATGAGTGGGAATCATCATCATCTCTTATTTTCAAGAAATCCTTCCAGATGTTCAGCCTCAAGCTTCTTCCTTTTAAGTTCAACTAATGGGTCCTTATCCTGCCCTTAGTTTCGACAGAGGCCTTCCTTCCCTCTCTTGCACTCCACCACCTTCTAGATATTTATAGACCACTATATCTCCTGTTCAGCCTCTTTTGGAAAGTAAATATGTCCAGCTGTTCTAACCATACCTCAAAAGAGCTTGGTTTTCACACTAGTTATTCAACAGCTCTTCTCTTAACCCACTCGAGTTTTGTATCCATTTTGACTTTGCTATATAGACATGTACATGACCTGCCCAGTCTGTAAAGACCTAACTTTCAGTTTTGCAACCAGCGTGGAACATTTTAAAGGCATTCTCTGTCACACACAGGCCGCTGGAAGATACTTCCTTAAAACCTTACCCAGCAATTTACTGTTTAAGCACCTTTCTGTTGTTTAGTGTTTGATAACTATTTATTCAAACTTTGCCATGTTAGAACCCACCCCTTTAATATCTTCTCTGCCTGATTTTTGCACAGAACTGGACAACTAACAAGAGAACAGACAGCCAATGTGCTTCCAAGAACACAGCAAGTTAGTTCCCCTAAAAGGAGGAAAATTGGTTAGAAGGAGCAAAGACTTCAGCTGTGTACACTCAATAATGTAAACTATATACAGCCGGCCCCTAGCATTTTAAACTTAAATGCATTGTGCAGACTTGGTGCATTTTTTTTTTGGCTTACAATTCAGGCTATTGTTTAATGTTAATTCCATAAACCATGACAAACATGTTGCATGAACACAGGGAGAGGTTTTTAAGAACTAGGGGTCCAGAATCTTGAACTCAGTGGATGTTGTGTCTTAAATTCTTAAGAAATTGCGTAATCTATCCTGGCAGGGAGCTGCAGTCCAACAACATTTGGAAGCTGGAGGAGCCAAAGCTGCCAATGATAGAAGGGACTTGACTGAATTATTGCCTTAAGCTTGCCTGTGGTTTTGTACCAAAACAATCTCTTCAGTGCCAATTTTATTCCTTTTGTTGTTGACATTCAGTTGTCCTACAGCTGGCTGCCTGGACTATGAGTCTGGTTATCAGGTTGGATTCAGAGGCCAGTGGCCTTTTGTGATTCTGATTTAAAAG